AGGCCCGGTCCCGGGCCGGTTCCTACAAAAAGACCATTTGGCCCGGGACCGGGACCATTTGGACTGGCCCACTTGGCCCGTTTAGGGCTCGGACCGGCCCACATGCCAGCCTTAATGTAGGGTATTCAAAATTCAAAATCTGTTGCTAGAGATATCGATAAATCAAAATTGAGTCATACTGAAATAAAGTTTCACCGACCAAAGAATCATTTAAATTTTTAGATAGCCGATTAAAGTGGATTTTAAATTAAGGATAATATCTTCACTTGCATCATTATAATGATAATCATTATTGAAATATATCTAATTTTTAGAAATTGAAATTTCAAAATAGAAATATTTTTTTAAACATAATAGCATACCAAATAAGAATTCAAGTCGTAATAAAAGTGTCACGACCCAATTCTCCCCCCATAAGATGTCGTGACGGCACCTAGTCTCTACGACTAGGTAAGCCTAACAATTGCGGAAAAATCGAAAATAAAGACATAATCAACAACTAACTTTTCACCAGATAACTATATAACGAAAAAATACCGCTCGGCATGTACAAGTAACCAACAGCTCGAGTATAACAATATTCCCAAAACCCGGTAATCACAAGTCACAAGCTCTAAGAATTTGTCTAACTATTTCTATACATCAGTAACTAAAAGAAAAAAGAACAATATGAAAGGGATAGAGGGAGACTCTGAGGTCTGCGGACGCTGACAGATATACCTTGAAGTCTCCGGAGCAGCAGCAAGTACGCAACTAATAGCGGGGCTGGTAAGAGGTACCTGGATCTGCACACAAAATATGTGCAGAAGAGAAGCATGAGTACACCACAACGGTATCCAGTAAGTGCCAAGCCTAACCTCGATAGAGTAGTGACGAGGTCAGGTCAGAGCCCTACTGGTATATAATAATTTAAGGCAGAAAAATATAGCAATGTAATAAGAGACTGGAAATTTAATGAGGAGAAACTACAGAAAGATAATAGCACAGCATGTACGGATAAACAACGGGGGCACTCCCGAGATACCGTCTCACAGTCCCAAAAGTAAACGCTCAACAGGGGATCTCCCGAGGTACCGCCTCGTAGTCCCAAAAGTAAATATGCAGGGGAATCTCCCGAGGTAACGCCTCGTAGTCCCAAAAGTAAATATACAGGGAGATCTCCCGAGGTACCGCCTCGTAGTCCCAAAAGTAAATATACAGGGAGATCTCCCGAGGTACCGCCTCGTAGTCCCAAAAGTAAACACACAGCTCGAAATCGATGAAAACAACAATTACAGCAAAAACAATCCTACACCTTATGGCTAAATACAAGTCAAGAAAAAATAGGAAATCAACTAAGCATGTTGTACAGGTTTCAAATAAGCAATTAAGATACGTAGACATGCGATATTAGGCTAACAGGATAACTACACATGCTGGTATTACTCAATTAAGACGTAACAGGTTACTGCTCAGTAAAAATCAGATTTTTCAGCAATTAGCCCGTGTACGCACTCGTCACCTTGCGTACATATCACAGAAGTATCACAACAGTACCAAATCCTATGGGGATTTCCCCCACACAAGGTTAGACAAGCCACTTACCTCGAGCCAAGCTCAATCAATCAACAAGAATGCCTTTTCCTCGACTTTCCGACTCTGAATGGCCCAAACCTAGCCAAAAACAATCGCATACTATAAATATAACTATAATAAACTAATCTAATTAATGAAATCAAGACTTTAACATGAATTTCGAAAATCGCTCCAAAAAGTCGACCCGGACTCACATCTCGAAATTCGGGAAAAGTCACAAAATATGAACGCCCATTCAACCACGAGTCCACCCATACCAAAATTACTCAAATCCGATACCAAAACCTCAATCAAAACCCAAAATTTCGGTTGAAGAACCTTCCAACTTTTTTCCAATTTTCTCAACCCAAATACTTAATTAAAAGATGAAGTTAACAATAGATTAGTGGAATATAACCATAAATGAGTTAAAAATCATTACCCAACAACTTCCTCGAAAATCCCTCAAATTATCGCCTAAATCTGAGCTCTCAAAGTCCCAAAATAAAAATTGGATAAAACCCTCGAACTTAGCCTTTTTCTGCCCAGCAATCTCGCTTCTGCGAGGGGTTCACCGCTTCTGCAGTTCCGCACCTGCGGAAAAACAATCGCAGGTGCGGACTTAACTTAAGTCCTCTAAAATCGCTTCTGCGATCAAGGGCCGCTTCTGCGTTCCTTTCACCGCTCCTGTGAGTCCGCTTCTGCGAGACTCTGACCGCTTCTGCGGTCCCAGCTGGGCAGGCCCATAATCGCTTCTGTGGCTCGATGGCCGCTTTTGCGGCCCAAAGTGCGCAGGTGCGATTACACCAGGTGCAACAACTTCAGTCAATCCAACACATTTTTAAATGATCCGTTAAACACCCGAAATCAACCCGAGGCCCCCGGGACCTCAACCAAACATACCAACAAGTCCTAAAATATCATATGAACTTAATCGAGCCCTCAAATCATATCAAACAACAACAAAAATACGAATCACACTCCAATTCAAACTTAATGAACTGGAAACTTCAAACTTCTACAACTGATACTGAAACCTATCAAATCACGTCCGATTGACCTTAAATTTTGCACACAAGTAAAATTCGACATTATGGACCTACTCTAATTTCCGGAATTGGAATCCGACCCCGATATCAAAAAGTCCACTCCCGATCAAACTTCCCAAAAATTCAACTTTCGCTATTTCAAGTCTAATTCAGCTACAGACCTCCAATTTACAATCCGGATACGCTTCTAAGTCCAAAATCATCTAACGGAGATAACGGAACCGACGAAACTCCATTCCGGATTTGTCTTCACACAGTTCCAACATTCTTGAACTTAAGCTTCCGTTTTAGGGACTAAGTGTCCCATTTCACTCCAAAACCATAAATAAATCCTCCCGACAAGTCACATAAGCATAAGATGATACGGGGAAAGCAATAATTAGGGGATCATGGCTATTACTCTCAAAACGACCAGCCGGGTCGTTACAAAAAGAGTCACGCCGTAACCAAAGAATCATTCATATTGTGCCAACCTTTGTGCTTTGCCATAGCTCATAAATACGAGTTATTATTTTGCTTTGTGACTATTTTTAGGTTCCAATAATACCAATAAGAATGGTGCAAAAATAAAACTATCACTACGAAATTTGAGAAAATGTTAGCCTTTTTTCATGTAGTGTTTCTTAATTAATATCTAATGATTATCTATAATTATCTAGAAGGTTTAAATTTTAAGGTTATTTACATATAATTCAAATAACTCAGATATTTAACAGGGTTAATGTCAAATATCAAAATGGAGTCATACTAGAAAAAACTTCACTGGCTAAAGAATTTTTAAATTTTAGATAGCCGACTAAAATGAGTTTTGAATTAAGGATAATATTTTCACTTACATTATTATAAAAATAATTATTATTGAAAAATAAAGTTTTAGAAACTGAAATTTTAAAATAGAAATATTTTTGAAAAATATCAACACACCAAATAAGAGTTCAAGCAGTAGTAAAAGAGTCAAGTCGTATCCAAAGAGTCTTTCATAGTCTCAACCTTTGATTGTTTTGCCATAAATATGTGTTATTATTTTGATTCCTGACTATTTTTTGGATCCAATGACACCGGCGAGAATGGTACCAAAAAAGAAAAATAGAATTATAACTAGAAGATTTGAGAAATATTTAATCATTTTCATATAGTGTTTCTTAATTAATATCCAATGATTATCTATATTTATCGAAAAGGTTTAAATTTTAAGATTATTTACATATAATCCAAATAACTCAAATATTTAATATGGTTAGTGCCCGCACATCCGCGCGGGTGCTAATACTAGTGTTAAATAAAAGTTTTTCCCTTGTATCTCAGTCACTTTTACTTTTTTTTGTTTTGTTATTTTGCTGTAGAATAAACTGAAGAGGTAACTAAACGAGGAACAGAGAAAAACCAACCACTAAACACTCTTTAAGATATTTTGTGAGATAAAGCAAGTTCACCCTTTATTACCTTTCTAGTCAATTGGAATAACTAGATTTCTTTGCACAAAAGCGGAAAGTGCATCAACTGAGTACAATAAAAGCATAGGTTGGAATGGAGATGTATGTAGCATCTAAATTTGAAGGGTTTAAAATTACTCTTGCACCCATTACGCAATTAAAATTACGAGTTCAACATTTAATATTTTTGAAATTTTAGTGATATTTTAAACGTTTATATTTACATTCCATGTGTAAACTATACATCGATTTGATTTTTGATTTTCTGCAATTTGGTATTACATTTAAGAAAAATAATCGACATATTTGATTTAATTTGGTTACACAAAAATGAGGGGAAACCGAGACTACTATGTGTGTGTGTATTGGTTTATAGATTTTTGTAATAATTTTATGTATTTTTCGTAATTTTCTTTTGTATTTTGCTTTCCAATCTTGGATGTCAGGTCATTACTTTGCTTTGTAAATCAATATTTACTCATTTTGATATATCATTGGGGGATGTAGATAGTGGTGAAAGATTGTTCGAATGGTGAATGAATTGCAACGAATTCTATTAGTAATTTCTGTGTATATACAATCTTAACAAAATTAAAGGAAATTATGCCACTGTTAGCTAACTTGCATTTAGTTTCTTGATGTTTTCGTTAAATGCATGTAGTTTACATATACACAAAGGAAAAGGAACAAACTTAAAAAACCGACAAACAAAATAACAACCACAAAATTATCGTAAGAGTCTATTTGGAAGGACACCTTGTAATTGACCTAGTAATTATACAATAAAGAAGTTACAAAAACATATTTGTTTGTCATAACGTAATTACAATGTAATGTCATGTGTCATGTTAGGTTACACAAGTATAATTAAATAGTTAGATATTTTATATTTTAAATTAAAGTTANCGTAGAAGGACTATGTACAAAGTGCTTTAGACATTAAGCTCATCTTGACAAAAAAAGAGAAACAAAACATCTGCTTGAGAAATCACAGGCAAGTATTCAACCATGCACATATGCTTCACACAGCCAAAGCACTTTACGTGGACTAGGGAAACAATATCTTTGAAATTACATACAGCAAAATGTTTCCATATTCCTTGCATTTACATACGCCTCATTTGCGTCACGATTGACTTTCCTGTAACCATTAAACGATGCGGATAATAAATACGAGCTGTAACACCAACTTAACAATCGAGACAGAAAAACTAAATTCCTAGATCAAATGAAGGAGAGTTTCCGCCATCAGGATTTTGTGTAATAGGTATTGAATTCACTGTATTCTGAACCAAGGACTGTGATTTATTTCTGAGCATTCTAGCAGCCTCTGCTTCCATTGCATCAAGATCGATACTTTGAAAGAACTGGTCATCATCAAATGGATCACCAACTTCATTGTTTGCTGCTTCTTCCAAAAGATGTGAGTTTACACCAACAGCTTTAGAATGAAGAGAGAACTCATCGTGTAAATTGACAACTGGCAGTGAAGTTGCCTGATAATAGCTCAACTTTCTTTTCCGGCTCTCTAACTTGCTATCGTTTTCTCTCAAAGAGCAAGTGGTTGAGCATGGTATGGCTTCTGGTGCGATTCTATTAATACTTTGCTGAAAGTTTGAGGGATATTTCGTTATTGACTTTGGGTCAGTTTGAGGTGTGTGATGATTTGCTGTTCCAGATGAGCTCTTGCTTTCATCTGCTCTGCTAGTTGGAACCTCAGAATCAGGAGTATAATCATTTGAAAGGTTGGGAATCGGTGACTGAGTGAGCAATGAACGCCTGTGATTAAAGATTAGAAAACAAGGCAATGCAGCCGTGATCATCAGATGATCTATGACTTCATGAAAATATTACTAAAAGGGAATCTATCTCCCTCATAAAACGGTACTTCATCAATAATGAAGCAATTTACAGTAACATTCAAGAAAGTGCTAAAAGAAGATATTCATTAATTCTTTACAACATTTAAAGCACTTCGCATGAATGATCAGACGCATTTGCCCCATCTGAAATAGATTGATCTTTTCCCTTTCTTCAGTTTACAACATTCAAGAAAGAGGGAAGGATAAGAAATTATATATTGTTGACCAGCTTAATTATAGGAGAAGAATCAGAGAATCAAATCTTTAATTAATAGCTTGATTGTAGGAAGATTGTATTGTAACTAAATATTCTCTCATTACTTTCATTTATTTACTTTCCTAGAATAGCTGTAGGACTTTAGTATAAAGGGATGTATCAGTAGGATGTTAAATATACATTGAAATACAAAGAAGCCTTCTCTTCTTCTCAATTTCGTCATGGTATCAGAGCCATTGTTGTCCTTTTGAGGTAAGTTTTCTCCCTCTGCAGCGCACTAATGTTCCATAGGTTGAGTTTTCTCCCTCTTTCTTATAGTTTTCTTGCTAATGTTTCTGTCCAAAGCTTTTTTTCTCACCCTCCGCTAGTTCCGTACAAAAACTGGTATCACTAGAAGGATTATACCTACTGTACGACCTACCCAAACTAGTTTCAGATTTTTTCGAACACCAGAAGACAAGTCCGGTGTAATCAGTTAGCTCCAGTAGCCTTTTTTCAGATTCCGAAGGCTGTTTTGGGTTACCAGGTTCTTCTGTTTAGCACTTATATTCTGAAATTTTTTTTGTGCTTCGGATTGTTCAAAAATATGGGGGACTTAAAAACAGTAGATAACAATAATTCTGTAGACAATAATTCTGATTCACATGGTATTAGTATGATAAAATTGGATGGTGCTGGTTCGTATCCTGCTTGGTCAAGGGCTTGTTTGTTGTTTATTAAATCCAGGAAAATGATTGGTTATATTACTGGAGAAAAGAAACAACCTGATGTGACTGATGCTACTTATAGTCAATGGAATTCTGATAATTTCCTTGTTATGACTTGGCTTTTGAATACTATGCATCCTCGAATTTCTAAACAATATTTGTTGCTTGACACTGCTGAAAAAATCTGGAATTCAGCCAAGCGCACTTATTCTCGCAAGGAAATGATGCCCAGATTTTTGAAATTCGAAATAAAATTCATGCGACTAAGCAAGGTGAGTTGACTATCACTGATTATTATTCTGAGTTAAGCGGGTTATGGCAGGAGATTGACTACTATCAGGAACTCCAAGCAAAGTGTATTGATGATGCAGTTCTATTTCAACGATTGATTGAAAAGGAAAGGGTCTATGATTTTCTGGCCGGTTTGAACCAAGAACATGATAAGATCAGAGTTCAAGTTCTCGGTAAAGTTCCTTTTCCTTCTCTTGAGGATGCATAAGAGAGCCGGCGAGGGGTCATGCTTTATTCAGCACCAATGGAGAAGTTCGGGTTAGCTGTGTCTCATGAACAATCAAAGGCGTTCACTTCTGATAAAGATTACCTGCACTGTGATTACTGTGGAAAGCCGAGGCATATGAAGGAGACATGCTGGAAACTACATGGTAGACCAACTAGAGGTCATGGAGGAAAATGTGTAGGTTCATCAAGGGTTCAGGCTAATATTGCAGAAAATGTAGAGACATCCAGGGAAAATGCTTTTGGAGAAGCTTTGTCTTCGGATGAAGTTCAACATCTTCGTTGTCTCCTAAATAAACTTGACTCATCTAATGTTGCCACTTCCAATTACGTGCAGTCAGGTATTGCCTTTAATGCTCACCTTAATTCTTGGATTATTGATTCTGGTGCGAATAGACACATGACAGGCTCCTCTAAAGGCTTTAAAAATTACTCTCCCAATTCCAAAGGGGATTATGTCAGAATAGCCAATGGCTCCCTAACTCCTGTCCCTGGAACAGGTTCTGTTGTTTGTACACATGATATTACATTATCATTTGTTCTCCATGTGCCTGAATTTCCTATTAACCTGTTATTTGTTAGCGCCATCACCAAAAAACTAAACTATAGTGTCAAGTTCTTTCTTGATCATTGTGTTTTTCAGGATCTTCAAACAAGGAAGAGGATTGGCAGTGGTAGATTGCATGATGACTTATATTGGATTGATGGAACTCGAGACGTGGTCACGCCTTTTTTGGAGGAAATAAGGATGTCAACAAAGAAATAATACAATGGCATAGACGGTTGGGGCACTCATCATTTTTTACTTTAAAGAAGTTATATCCTAGTTTGTTTTCTAAAACTGAGTTTAAATCTTTGTTTTGTGATGCTTGCGAATTTGCCAAGCACACTAGAAACTCTTATCCTTTGAGTGATGATAAAAGTACAACTCATTTTTCAACTATTCATTCTGATGTGTGGGGTCCTACTCAAACAGTTTCTTTATTTGGTAGTAGATAATTTGTTATTTTTATTGATTGTTGCACTAGAATGACCTGGGTGTATTTGTTAAAGGCCAAAAGTGAAGTTTTCTCCTGCTTTCAGTCATTTCATAAGATGATTTGCGCTGAGTTTGAGTCTAAGATAAAAATCTTGCATACTGATAATGGCAAAGAATACATGGATAAAAAATTTGGTGCTTATTTGGAGTCTTATGGGATAATCCATCAAACTAGTTGTCCTTATACCAGTGCACAAAATGGGGTTGTACCGTTGTAGAAAGGAAAAATATGCATTTGTTAGAAGTGGCAAGATCTCTTATGTTTACCACGAATCTACCAAAACCTTACTGGGGGGATGCCATTTTAGTAGCTACCTATCTCATCAATAGAATGCCACTAAAAGCCTTCAATTTCCAGACTCCTCTGGAAGTATTAAAGTGTAAGAATGATAATACTGTCCCTTCGAAGGTATTTGAGTGTGTCTACTAATGTTCACACTAGGAACTCTGGGAAACTTGATCCTAGAGCCCTTAAGTGTGTCTTTATTGGGTATTCTCCAATACAGAAAGGGTACAAATACTATCATCCTACCTCTAGAAGAATCTTTGTCAGCATGGATGTTTCCTTTCGAGAATCTGAGCCCTATTTCGGTATTACATCATCACCTCTTCAGAGGGAGAGCTATAAAAGAGAAGAGATGATTCTCCCGAGTTCTATTGTTGAAACCACTGCCAGTACCATAGGGGAAAGTAATTGAAGACAGAATATATGGGGAGACTATTGGGCATTTGGATAGAACTGATTTGAAAACTTACTCAAGGAGAAATAGAGCAAAAGAAATCATCATGCAATCTGCAGAAGTTGAACCTTCTTCTACTAGTGAGTTACCTATATTTCCAAATGAGTTAGATGTACCTATTGCTCACAGAAAAGGAGTCACATCTTGCACCACCAAACATCATTTATCTAACTTTTGTCTCCTATAAATCTTTGTCTCCCTCCTATAGAGTCTTTGCCTTGTCTATTTCTTCTGTGTCTATTCCCCAGAATTGGAGGAAGCTTTTGCAAATCCTAAATGGAAGGAAGCTATGATTGAAGAAATAAAGGCCTTATCAAAAAATAAAACTTGGAAACACTTCACCACCAGACAAAAAGTTGGTTGGCTGCAAATGGGTCTTCACTGTGAAGCACAAAGCTGATGGCTCAATTGAAAGATTCAAAGCAAGATTGGTGACTAAGGGATTCACTCATACTTATGGAGTAGATTATCAAGAGACATTTGCCTATGTTACTAAAATGCACACTATCAGAATCACTTTGTCTTGTGCAGCTAATCTTGATTGGGACTTACAATAGTTTGATGTGAAGAATGCATTTCTTCTTGGAGACTCAGAAGAAGAGGTGTATATGGAGATCTCTCCTGGATTTGATATTGAACAAAGTCAAGGAAAAGTGTGCAGATTGATGAAAGCCTTGTATGGACCTAAGTTGCTCGGACACGGGTGCGGGTGTCCGACACGGGTGCGGATCTTGAGGTTGGATATTTCAAGATGTAAATTTTAAGATTTGGGGAAACGGATCCTAGTACGGAAACGGTTGCGGGGATCCGGCTAAAAATAATTTTAAAAAATAAAAATCTCTCTAATTTATGAGAAATTTTGTGGAATACTTACGTATAGCTTGTAAAGTGTGGATTTCATTTTTATTCTCAAGTTGTAGATAAGTAAAAGATTGATTTCCTAGATAAGATATGCTATTTTCTTCAAATTTACCCTAATTTTAGTTCTGATTTCGGTAATCAAATTGTATCTCATCTCGAACTTTTCTGTCCGTCGTGTTCAAAGTACCCAAAATTGTTTGACCAAATCCTGTACGGATCCCATACCCACACCCATAATAGTGTCGTGTCGACACGGGTACGGCACCTAAACTGCCATGTCGGAGCAACCTAGGTATGGACTGAAGCAATCTCCTAGAGCTTGGTTTGACAGATTCTGCAAAGCAATTATCTCCTTCGGCTACCAACAAAGCAATGCTGATCACACCCTCTTCATAAGACATCAAAAGGGTAAACTCACTCTTCTCATAGTTTATATTGATGATATAGTAATGACAAGAGATGACATAGAAGAGATGACCCGATTGAAGAAGGTGTTGGCACAAGAATTTGAAATCATAGATCTAGGGAAGTTGCAGTACTTCTTGGAAATTGAGGTTGCTAGATCAAAAAAAGGAATCTTTATTTCTCAAATGAAGTATATTTTGAATCTCTTGAAAGAAACTGGTATGACATGTTGCAAACCGATAGAATCACCCATTGAAAGTAATCACAAGTTACAAAGCGGAACTGGAAAGTCAGTTGATAAGGAAAGATATTAAAGACTAGTTAGAACACTCATTTATCTCTCCCACACTAGACCAGACATAGCCTATTCAATTAGCTTGGTGAGTCAGTTCATGCATGATCCCTGAGATCCTCATATGCAAGTTGTCTTTCACATTTTGCGGTATTTAAAGTCTGCACCCGGAAAAGGTCTGTTGTTCTCCAAACATGGTCACCTCCTGATAGAAGCCTTTACAGATGCGAATTGGGCTGGATCTCTAGATGACAGAAGATCTACATCCGGTTAATGTACACTCATAAGAGGAAACTTAGTTACTTGGAGAAGCAAGAAGCAAAGTGTAGTTGCTAGATCAAGTGCAGAGGTAGAATATAGAGCTATGGCCCAGGGTGTATGTGAACTTTTGTGGTTACAAAAGCTACTAGAGGAATTGAGAATGTCTGAAAAACTAAAACTTTCCTTATATTGTGACAACAAGGCTGCCATTAGTATAGCTCATAATCCAGTCCAGCATGACCGAACAAAGTATGTTTAAATTGATCGACACTTCATCAAAGAAAAAGTTACAAGCGGTGTCTTGAGTTTGTTTCATATGTCATCTAAAAGGCAGCTAGCTGATGTATTTACCAAAGGTCTCAACAAACGGACTTTCCATATACTGGTTTGCAATTTGGGCATGTGTGACATCTTTGCACCAACTTGAGAGGAAGTGTTGACCAGCTTAATTATGGGAGAAGAATCAGAGAATCAAATCTTTAATTAATAGCTTGACTGTAGGATAGCTTGATTGTAGGAAGATTGTATTGTAACTGAATATTCTCTCATTATTTTCATTTATTTACTTTCCTAGAATAGCTGTAGGACTTTAGTATAAAGGGATGTATCAGTAGGATGCAAAATATACATTGAAATACAAAGAAGCCTTCTCTTCTTCTCAATTTCATCATATATGTATAGCTGAAGATTCTGTGAGTATATGCACAAATATATCATGGAGTGCAATTAACAGTTTAAAGCATAAAGAATCAGCATCCAAGCTTTCTTGAGTCACAAAATCTTCTCTAAACAAAGTCAGATATCGAGCTCATGCCCCTGTATCTGTGTGAACATAGTTTTGCTTCCTAATATGATACATGTTTCAGGTGCCATTACCTTCAAATTAAGGTAGATTATGATTAGGCAACTCTGAATGATTTTTCTAGTCCTAGATTTTAGCATAGCTATTTAAATCATCATTTTCTCTACTTAGTGTTGCGTATTCGCTCTCATCCAGAACAACCAAATGAAACAATCAGTTTATTCATTAAATTTAGTAATTAAGGAAGCGGTTAGAGAGGTGTTAGGGTCACGAGGGGATAGTCTGGTGGACACAAAAGTAGGGGTGATTATCGGGCGGATCAGGCGAATATTTGCACTTAACGGTTCAACTTATTGGTTATCGGTTTATAAATGTAGTAATCTGCTAGCCAATCAATAAGACATCGGGCGGATTGGTCTCGGATTAGCGATTATCTGGTTGTTTATCAGCTAAATCAAATAGACAATAAAAAAGTAATAGAGAACTAAAGATAAGCGAAAATTTAGGTCCAAATTTATTTATATCATATTTCCTAATCCATGTGACATGCAATATCCAGTACAGGGGAGAGTAAATAAGTATGTGGTATGGATAAAAAAAAATTGACAACTCAATTGAAAGAAAAAATAATTTTTACGAGGAAAACAAGTTAGTTAACTAATGCACAAACAAATCTCTTTATCTCATAGAAAAATCCATGTGACATGCAATCCATGTCCGACCAAATCCATGTTTGAATTTTGAAGAGCTGACTGTTGAGGGAGACGACTGCTGCCAGTGTTGAATTGAGAAATTAAGGATTTAGGGTTTCAAGTAGTACTTTATATACATAGGGGTAAAAGTTCAAATAAAAAAATTCTTAACGGGTTAACGGTTTATCCGATAAGGAAATTGAGTAATCCGTCCCCAAACCGTTAAGCAGTTAATTATAAAATTTTAATCCATTCACCATTACCCCGATAACCCGATACCAATAAGCCAATAAACCAATTTTGTGGTTCGATTAACGGTTCGGTTCGGTTTTGAACAACCCTACACAAAAGGGACTGATGGTGGAATGGGAAGGTCCAAGGAAAAGTGAAAGCCAAGAAAGCGGCATATTTGAAGCAAGTGGAAAGCATAGACGAGGAGAAAAAGAGGAAGAAATTCAGTGACGGGACTCATGAAGCGGACGTGGACGTGAAGCTTGATACACAAATCATTCCCAAGAGAGATAGTTTCAAGTATCTTGGGTTTGTAATCCAAGGAAACGGGGAGATTGACGAAGATGTTACACATCGTATTGGAACGAGTGAATGAAATGGAGGCTCGCATCCGGTGTTCTGTGTGATAAAAATGTGCCACCAAGACTCAAGGGCAAGTTCTACTAAGTGGTGGTTAGATCGACTATGTTATATGGGACTGAATGTTGGCCTATCAAGAACTCCTATTTCCAGAAAATAAAAGTAGCAGAAACGAGGATGTTGAGATGGATATGTGGGCATACCAGGATAGATGAGAATATGAGTGAAGATATTCGGGACAAGGTGGGAGTGGCCCCTGTGAAGGACAAGATGTGAGAATCGAGGTTGAGATGATTCGGGCACGTGAAAAGGAGAAGCATAGATGCCCCAGTTAGGAGTTGTAAGAGGTTGATCATGTCGGGTCTGAGGAGAGGTAGAGGTACGTCAAAGAAGTACTTAGAAGAGGTGGATTAAGCAGCACATAGTGCTGCTTCAACTTACCGAAGACATGACCCTTGAAAGGAAGGTGTGGAAGTTGAGAATTAGGATAAAAGGTTAGTAGGTAGTCGAGAGTTTATCCTTTCCTTACCAGTAGTATTAGTACTATTCTTGTATTTTCCTATTTTTATATCTCTATTACTATCTGTTGTTTTGTTCACTTCAGTTATCTTTCGTTGTTGTTACTGTTTGTTACTACTGCTTCCTTTTTTCCCCTTTTCTTGAGCCGAGGGTCCATTGGAAACAACCTCTCTACCTTCACCAGATAGGGATAAGGTCTGCATACACACTACCCTCCCGAAACTCCACTTGTGGGATTACATTGGGTTTGTTGTTATTGTTGCACTTCATAGTTCTGAACCAAAACCATTATGAGCATCATTAAATTCCTAGCGAACTACAAGAATCGCCTAGAAATGTTGATGATAGAGAATGTCAAATTGAAGTTTGAGCACTTTATCACCAGATATCAAATTATAAATTTCAGCCAAGAAGTTCGTCGCCACATCACTTCAAAACTTCACATATAGAAGTGTTTTGTTTCATTGAAGTCCATGTTGCTGAGATGTTCTTAAGCACAAAGACATCAGTGCTTATAATCTCTTCTTAGTTCTGAAGCAAGAACTGCAAATTATTTATAACTTGACTAAAAGAAATTGTGTTCCAATACAGAGCGCAGGCACTTCAGTGCCATGCAGGTAAGCTGAATACATTGAATAACCTGACCTTTCAACTGAGCTTGTTCAATTTCCATTTACTTGTAGTTAAGCTATTTTGAAAGTCAGTCATATGAGATGCCTAGTCTCATCATGCATTTGTACCGCAATATTCTTACATTGATTTGTTTGTTTAAACCTAATGATTAGTTAACACCATTCTTCATCAAAAAAAAATGATTAGTTAACACCATTTTAGTTCAAAATAAGACTGTTTCGCTCCCAAAAATGAAGAGCGGATATTTAATCACTCTAAAACTTTTCAAAGGAATCAATACTAAAATCACCCAGAAAAGGGAGAAAACGCGTAAAACAAAACAGAAAATAAAGAGATAAACTTAATAAAAACCTGTAAATTGCTATCATGTCAACTTCACCAGCCTCGGCTTGACTATCTGCCGCTGTTGGATTTATCTTATCATCTATGAAACTATCATCATATGAACTGCAATCCTGCTTATCCTCCTCATCATCAGATACTGAAACTTCTGAAGACACCCTGTGTCCGAACCAATATTTTAGAAGCATATCAGGAGAAGTGCATGAGGCGGATGAAATTCATAATAAGTATGAAAATTTGACTAGTAACCGATCTATGATGGTTATTTTGTTTTTGGGCCATTAATTGTAGTATGGATACTCTACACATCAATGGGCTGCAGAACAAACTCAATGGCCATTCGACATGTCAATTGCGCCATTAGTTATGCAGTCTTTTTCATAATCTAAGATGGGACACTTGCCCTGTTGCATGTTCTGGTGCATCTTAGTCTTGTAGAAAATTTATGTTTTAACACTACTCTTTCTTTTCCTTTCTGTAAAGTAAAAGGGCACATTGGTATTTAGAAAACTTTCAGAGCACGAAACTAAATTCTGGAAAAGTATAGGGGAGGAATAGAGGATTGCGCAAACATAAATTTGGTGTAAGAAACTTTATCAGGACCCCCCGTTTCCACTCCCTATTCCCTCAAAAAACAAGTTTGAAGCTCTACCCCTAATTCTAGAATGCATGTGTCTAGGATGATAAAATAAAAACAAAATAAATCACAAAGGAAAAGGAAAGGTTTTCTGACAGGTGGCAGTAATGAACTTGAAATAGAGGTCTCAGGCTGTCTGTTCATGAAAGATGATGGTGCAAACCTATCACCAATCATAAGTTATCTTCTGAGGTTACCTCTGGAGCAACATCACATTTACTTCATCACACTGCAAGTTTCTGTCTCTGTCTTTTACAGCTTTAATATCTTACACCCTGAAAACTACACTCTAAGGCTGGTCATATCATAACTCACCACAATAATCCTTTTCCCATTTGTTTACAGCAACTTAGAATGCTATTACGTATTTGAGGGCCATATTGCCCGTAATAGTATTTCTAGCAAGTCAGAAGAATGGAAGATAAGTACTTGTTGACACTATATGTATCCCCTTAACTCATAATTTATGCAGTCTTGTTGACACTAGGCATGATAGCCATAACCCATAAACCATGCACTGGGTGCAGGTGCAGAATCTCGATGATACCACAGGAAATTGCTAACGATACTTTCCTTTTTACTCCTTTATATTGAGTACTTGGATAGTAGCTAATCAATAGTAGGTACCATTCTTGAGGATAGAAGAATATCTCAATTTCATTCTAAACAATATCTCCTGCACAGAATAAGAATTTCATGCAATTTTTCAGGTGGAGCAATATCCTTCTCAATATTCTTATGTGCTACTTATCTTAAGATCTGTTGTTAGAAACTTACTTTTTCCCTTTGATATTTGAGGAACTTCTACATCTCCCTCTTCCAGAATGGACAACAGTCAGATAGGGAAAAAGACAAAACTGGGAAAAGTATTATGAGACTGAGGGAGGAATAAGACATAAAAGAAAGGAATGCCCTGTAGAGACACAATAAACAAAGAAGAGGAGCAAAGAGCTCAAGATTTCAATTGAGACTTCAGTTATTCACACCCCCACGACTCAAAAAGAACGAAACAGCTAAGTACCCAGTTCTTATAAAGAGTGAAATAAGAAAGAATAAGAACAAATTCAATTGAGTTCCAATGCTCCTCGGTGAAATCAAATGAAGACAATAGAACTTATAGTACCAGATTATACCATGGTCGAGTATTACCACCAGCAATGATTAGCATATTGGCTATGCAATCCATCTATGTGTTTATTTCACAAAGTGAGCTAACTAGCTCCAATTAATTGGAGTATGAGATTTCCAGTTCTCTAATTATGAACTTACGGAGACTTTTTGTTGACAGTCCCATAGTTTCCACTAGGACTCTATGACTTCTAAAGTCATCTTTTCAGATAACACCTAACAGTTTCCTGTTGGCAGAAATGGCCAAGCCTCTTCCATCTCTTCTTCTTCCTAAATTTCCACCACACCCATCAAGAGCCAAGCTCCCCGCGACCAAACTCCAGTAAATTTCTCCGGCAACCGAGCCCTCACGCGCCCCCACGCGCCTGACTTTCCGGCGAGTCTCAGCCACGCGCCGGCGCGTGTGGCCTTTTCAGGCGACTTTTCAATTTTTTTCCTTCAGACAGCCTCTTCACACAGCCTCTTCGCGAGGCATTTCCGAGCCATCCCGTGCCAGTTTCACCAAATTCCGACGACTTTTTCTTTTTTCGGCCTTTAAACCCCAGCTCTTTTTCTCTTTCAGACAGCAGTACGAGGAAACATTCCTCCCTTCTGTCTCCACCCACTGTGAATACTGTTATTCCAACAATTGAGGTTTTTCCGGCCAGCTTTTCCGGGACAGCCGCATTTAGAATATGATGATTGTACAGAGAGAAGCTCTTTTTTCTCTCTAAAATCCAGAAAACTGGAAAACATGTCGTTTATGAAAGCTGTCTCTTGGCCATCCCTAGAACTTGGGGGAAGATGCCATCGAAAGCTCGACGTAGGACAGGAGCCGCACTTCACGCTGTCCGAGGAGCACACTCTCAGACGCAAGGGTTTCTTGGAATCTAGTCTCATTGGGTCTTTCTCCAAATGGGTTGGTTCTCCGGAGGCTGTTAGAAACTGGGCAGCAGAGGCATGGAACGTCAAGGATGGGCTGAAAATATCGCAATTGGGGGACACTCAATATCTCTTTCGTTTTGTTGACAAGTCTCAAGCTTCGGAAATTCTTGTCAGAGGAAACAGGTGGTTCGATGGGAACTTTTTAAANCAATATCTCTTTCGATTTGTCGACGAGTCTCAAGCTTCAGAAATTCTTGTCAGAGGAAACAAGTGGTTCGATGGGAACTTCTTAAATCTAGACAGATGGGTGGAGCATGATGGGTGTCTTGACCCTCGCTTCACTGGCGAAACATTGGTGGTCAACATGGTGGGTCTCCCGGTGCATCTTTGGTGTCTTGACCTATTCAAGAAGATAGGGGAAATCTGTGGGGGTTTTATTGATGTCACTTGCAGTTTACACGATCTCTCGCGAGTGAGGATTGTGGTGAGGAAAGGGGGCAGAATCCCTGTCTCCACTGTGGTGGAAGATGGCTACTTGAGTTATAGGGTTTGGTTGAGCCCTGAATTTCACCCTATCTTTATGCCTGTGATAGCGACGGAAGAAAAGGGAAGGTCAAACAGAAGAGAAGGGAGGGGAAATCAGTCTCTGAGGGGAGGGGAGGGTTCACCGGATCACTGGATTAAGCCAAAATCAGACGTTAGATCGAGAAGAGACGGGAGATTTGAAATTGGGGGAGGAAGACAAAATTATAACAAGAGAAGACGTGAATGGGTCAGTGATGCGGGCTGGAAAGGCAAAATGGGATGGTCCTCTTCTACTTATCATAGGGCCGGGCATGTTTTCAGCAAGTATAGGCCTGGGCCTCCTCACATGGGCCCAGCAACTTTTCCCAATTCCATTAGAATTGATCCTAAGGGGCCCAGTTTATTTCAAGCTGCGCATGATAAGGCTTCTAAGCATATGGGAACAGTGGTTCCTCCTTCCTCTTGTCATGGTGCTTCACACAGTGACACTCTTTCACCGAGCTCTAGTGACATGTGCCCCTCTACGATGGCCGCCGCTAAAGGGGCAGAACCGGCAAAGGATGGTGCTGTTAATCCACGGCCCCCACCTCTGTTGGGCCCGGTTCCATCAACCACTCAACTGCTCCTGGGCTTAGTTGTGCTGAGGACACACTCAAAGTTTCTTCTTTTTTTGGGAGATTGGTGAGCATGTCCCAATTGATGTTAATGTCGGACCAGTATCTTCAGTTAATATGCCACCAAGGGTACCATGCTCTCTTCCACCATGCTACCCTACTGATGGTTCTGGACATTCCTATAGCAGCGGGTTGTCATTTTCAGAGGTTGTTGACCCCAAAGGAAATGGTGAGACCCTTTCGAAGGTTAAAACTCCTAGTGCTAGCAATACTATGGTCTTGTATTCCTCTGGTAGTAGCAAGGAAAGGGCACATACAGAAGAAGCCTGCCCAA